CCCCAAAACCCCAAAACCCCAAAACCCCTTCAATAAAAGTAAATACTCAAAAATAAAAAATAAGGATTTTAATCATTCAACAAATTATTTACAAAAGCTAAAATTCATTCTCATTTGTATTATAAAATCAATCCATTTCCATCATTTTATTTGGTTGTTACTCTTATTCTTGTAATAATTGGTTACTCTAATCATATTTCTTTTTAAATTCTCTTATCGAATCTAGAGACTTGCTGAAGTTTTCAGATTATATTTCCGCCTTGTCCAGTAGTTATTTAGGTAGTCCAGCCATTTCACCAACCGATATACCATAGCTACTCTTGGCTGCTCCTGGCATAAACTTAAACAAGAATTTAACTTTCCTGGTGGAAGTACTATCAGAATTTTTCTTAGGCTTTCTTCCCTTCTTACCTTTCTTTTTTACAGGAATGTTATCATCATCCTCATCAGCAATTAACTATTTTGGAGAGCTTATAGGTGAGTCATCAATACTCATATGGAATAATGCAACTCCTTGCACAGATTTGAAATCATCCACAAGCCAATGATAATGTGTAGTGAATAGCAGTCTGCATTATTTTTGACTCAATAAATAATTTAAAACGCTATGAGCTATGGCATACCCATCAAAAGTTGATGTACCTCATCCTAGCTCATCCATTATAACGAGTGAATGCTTATTTGCATTATCAACTATGCTTTTAGTTTCTGATAATTCTAGCTTAAAGGTGCTAAGATTTTCTAGAATTCTGTCACTAGCTCCTATTCTAGTATAAATTTGATCAACTATTGTAAGTTCACAACTTTCAGCTGGTACATGACAACCAATCTATGCCAAAATTGTTATTAAGCAAGTTGCTCTTAATAGAGTAGATTTTCCTCCCATGTTTGGTCCAGTTATGAGTAGAGCTCTTTAATTATCATATTCCAAAACTACATCATTTGGGACAAATTATTTTTTCTGGTGCATTACACATGGATGTCTCATTTATTTAACATTCAAGAATGGCTTTTCATTTTTACTATGAACTACAGGTCTTACCATATGCGGTTCATGTGAAATTACTGCCAGTGAACATAGAGCATCTAGTTCTGCCATGCAATGTACAGCATTATTCCAAACATTTCGATACTGATAAAATCTTTAAAACATGTCCTACAAAAGTGGAACTAATTTCTATCTGTATTGCATCTCAAATTATAGCAATCTTCCGGATATTCCACACAATTCAGTTGAAACATATCGCTTTGTATTCTAAAAGAAAATATTTTTTGCTGCATATATATATTACTTTTAGCTTGCTAGTAGTCCAGAAATTAGGGTCTTTTTCAAAAATATCACCAATTTCTTAAGGTACTTCTAGTTGATATTTCTATAATTTAAGTTAACTGAGATAATAATTTACAAATTTTCGA